TTTGTTTAGAAAGTGAAATAAGTGGTTGAAATTTCATAAACACAAGCTTAAAGAGCTCATCAATGGTGGTTTTGGGTGGTTGCAAATATTGATGACAATGGCATTATGGTAAATAAGGAGAAATGTTTAGGGTGTAATAGGTTTTTTATAATTTTCGAAAATAAAATCAGATTTAAAAATAATGGCAATTTGGTAAATAAGTGGAAACATGAGGAGAGTTTAGGTTTTTTAAGAGTGAATAGTAATGGACAAAAAAAAAGAGGTTGGTTTTGTGTTTGACTTGAAATTTTAGGTTGGTTTTGCAAAAACCCCTAAAATTATTGCTATAATTTGATAATAACCGTTAATAATTATTCTGAATATAGTGAAAAATATTTATTAAAATTAATGAATAAATCTGAAATCATAGTAAATATAACAAATAATCTTCTACAAAACTAATAAAACATAACAAATAAGTAAAATATCCTAAAATCACACAGAACATGACAAGTAAACTAAATTACTAGCACTAAAGTATAGATGTCAAGTAAAAGATGGATTTTTAATTATAACGAAAATAATTTAATTATTTGGACTCACAGACTCATAACTTTTGATTGGTAAGCTAGTGTTAATGAAATTCATATCACTATATAACTCTTATTTAACATAAAAAGAAGAAAACACATTTTTTAAATAATAAATAAAAATATCATACGGATTAATATTATCAAAGTAAACATAAGATGAAAAAGCTATAAAATTATTTCTAAAATTTGATAGTAACCGTTAATAATTATCTTGAAATATAATGAAAATATTCATTAAATAATCACTATATCTGTTTAGAACTACTAGTACAACAATTATTTCTTAAAACTATTGACTAAAACTAAAATCATAGAAAATATGAAAATAAGTTTTAAAAACTAATAAAAACATAACAAATAAACAAAATAACATGACAAAAAATAAAATATCCTAAAATCATAGAAAACATGACGATTAAGCCAAATCATTTCTCAAATAATAGTATATATTTCTTTGAATACTTAATATTTTCTTGGGTTAATTAATATGCATGGCTATAAATTAGACTGAATAAAATAATTGGCAGTAACATTTTGATAATTAACACTTAAAATTTTAGTAGAAATGTTGCTTCTGAGGCTTGCTTATTTTTTTCAATGTGAATAAAATTGGGCGTGTTTAGTAAAAACAAAGATGTATCTATGATTTTTATATATAGTAATGATTTTAATAGAAGTTTATGGTTATAGGTATTTTTCAATAGTACAAATTATTTGTGTTAAAGTATCGACGATGCAGATGAGACACTGTTAATAAGCAACATACTATATCACACAAATAATAACAGAAGAATAACAAGCCTTTCTACAGTGTCCACATTGGCAAGAAAATTTAGACCAATCACTCCATTATATTGTTCCATGTCAGCGTTCTTCAGTCAAACCAAAAGACGAAATCGTTCCTCCGTTTGATGCCATTCCGATTTCTCATTCTTAACCGTTTATATCAACCAAACCCTAATTTTTTTTCTACATCCAAGATCCAAACTTTACACACACAAAAGTCAGATAAAAAGAGATTAAGAGTAAACCTGAAGATTGTGAGACTTTACATAGGTCCAAATCTCTTTGACGGTGTCAGTGCGTGTGGTTTCACCGGTACCAAAGAAACTGAGCGAGAGCTGGAGAGACAGTCGTAGACTTGAAGATCCCAGTATTCCTCGGCGTCTTCTTCACCAGAGCGTCTGAATTTGACTGTGGATTAGGTTTCGCCTTCGATTTCGCTGCCAACTTCTTGGTTCCTCAGGCGGTGACAAGAGCAAAAAGCGATCTGCATCCCCTGAAAACCCTAGCTGCCACAAAAGGCATCTCTCGCTAATTTCTTTGGGTTTCTCTCGCGATCTGCATCCTCTTGGACTCCTCTCTCTCTGCTCTCTTTATATAATCCAGATGCAAGCTATGAAAAGGCTATGCCGTAAATATGCTCCACTGAATGCGGCTGGCTTTAATTGAGACAACAAAGTAGGAGTATTACAAGCAAACTCGTTCTGGACCAGACTTTGGAAATCTTTTCTCAACAGGTGTTGCTCATCCCTCAAAGAAGTTGGGTCCAAAAGTGATTTATAACATAAAAGTGTTTGTATTTTTTTCATGTCATATGCAAGGTGATGTTAATTTTCTTTGACTTTGAATGGTGATGCCGATTTCCGAGTTTGCATGGACCAACATGCACGCCTTTCTTATTTTCACCTCTGCACTTATTGAGATTCCTTCTTTTTTTTTCCAGCAGTTTAGCTTTTACTAGCTTTGCTAATGGTTTTATTGTCCATTCAAAATATTTTTCATTTCAGCTATGTGATTCATGTGGCATGTTATTTAGAGAATTGGCCAGATTTGTATTAAAAAGATGCATCTACAGGCACAAGGGTCTGATGGACTCCCTAATACTAAGTTGCTTATTACATTGACTCAAGTTCCTCAACTTTGCACTGATTATAGTATTATCCAGTCTTTTGTTTTTGCCATCTTTCATCACTCACTTTCTCTCTCTGTTTTCACAGCTTGCTCAACAAAAGGGAAAATGCAGTTGAAGTGTTGTAAATGCATTTCTAGTGGTATATTGAAGGTACTTATTCATCATGACCACGACTAAGTCTTCTTAGTGAGTTCCTCTGTTTTCTAGATCCGAGAAGTTCTGATTTTTTTTTCAATCTTTGTTCTTTGGTTGAGTCTATTGTTTCAGAAGTTGTGTGTGAAACACACCTCTTTCTTTGTTGTAGTCTATTCTCATACTTTTTTTTTGTTTCTGTATATATATAGATACAAACATGTATGAGTCAGGGCATAACAAATTCTTGATGTTTCACTTCAGGTCAGAATCTCTATTTCGAGTGGAATATGTTAAATGGGTATCATTCTAATGTCCATTCGCCGAGCAAGATGATGTAGAGGCTGCTCTAGACTCCTGGTTAAGAGATCTGCCAGTTTCAACAACAAAACTTTAGAGCCCACGATCTTGAAGTCTATGGGAATTTGTGGTAAAATGGTTGTTGAGAAATCTATTCGCTTCAAATGGATGCAACCAGAGATAATGATCTCGCTTTGAGTTACACACTCTCTGGATTGTTAGATAAATCTCAGTTCTTGATCCAAGGAACCCCAAACATGAAGCTGCTATTAAGTTACATAAATTTTACAAAAGATTTTGTACCAGGTGAAAGCTCGCAGGCTATGCAGTGCTCTTGGAAGAAAGCTGTTAATGTTTTAAATGTATCATTCTTTGATATTGAGTAACATGCAACCGTAATTCCAGGTGGGGTTTAGAGCTTGGACAAGAGCATACAAAGTTTATAAAGGTTTGTGGCCTTTGCCATCGGTATAGACATAATCTTCATGTTAACTACAAGTTGCTCCACTGCCAGAGTAGAGACTTTTCTACTGCTAATTACTTTTCAAAAGGTTTGTGCCAACACAAAAAAAATAACCTTTGATGTGTGTTTGATTGAAATGTTACTTGTTTGATATTGGCAAGGGAAAAGAAGTAAAACTTGGAGAGAAGTGTCTTGATTGAAACTTCAGCAACAATAGATTAAGTATACAATGCATTAAGTATCTTGGTCTGGTTAGTATCTATTTCTTTTTGTTTTCATGATTATGCTTTGTGTATATGGAAAGGCAAGCTTTTGAGGTTTTTTTGAAAGGCAGGAAATTCTTCTACAATAACAAGAAATGCTTCAAACTTTTTCTTACGAAAGATAGTGTTTCACAAGAATTTTGGTGCTCAGCACATCAAGAACTGAGATATGTTGGGAAGAAAGGTATGTTTCAACATTCAAGCTTCTTAGCTGGAGCTATTGTTGCTACATGAAAATTTGTTGCTTGGAATGGTGTTCTTAAGGCTGTTTAGCCATGGTACATGCTTGGTACGAATTTTTAATTTTAGTATAGTAAATCATATAAAGAAATAGATTGAATTTTTCACTCGTATTATGAATATTGTTATATACCAATAAAAAGATTGTGAAAAGTTAATTTCAAAAAGCTTCAGAAAATAACAGTATTACAAAGTTTTTAAAAGTAATATATAAGAAAAGTTGCACAATATCTTATGCAAAATATTTTTTGAGAATATTTTTTAAGAAGACATGAACAATTAATATGAAATTTATTAAAATACAAAACTAACAACAAAATATGTATTTGTAATATAAAATCTGGCACGTATCATCGAAAAAAATCATATATAGTCAGATAAATAAGTATTTAGATTATAAATAAATAAGTGTTTTCGAAATTTAAATTTTAAGTTTCAATCATTTAAATTCACTAGAAAGTATATTTTAATAAATAATTATTATTTAAGTATTATATATTAATTTTTTTTTCGAACTCGTAGCCTAGGAAAACTTCTAGTTATTTTATAAATCCAAACTTTTTGATCTAATAAAGCCATTTCTCAAAGAAAACTGTTTGATCTAATATAAAGACAATTTAAAAGTTTGAGAAAACATACCATTATGAGCATGTAATGAAAATATGATATAAAAATGTAAATTGGAGAAAAAAAATATAAAAGTGACTTATTCGAAGTACAAGGGTTATGATACAAGGGACAAAGGGAAGTTGATGTTCAGTGAACATTAATTGAAAGGAACAGATCGATTCTTCTCGATACTATGATGTTGACTCCCCACCCGATCTTTCTATATATCCATTGACTACAAAAAAATAAATATTTATATCCTTAATTGGTGGAAACAAAACAGACGTGTGTATAGATGATTATGAATTTGGTGGAAACAAAACTAGAAAGAAACTGATATTCTACTTAATCACCATAACAACACTTCGCAAACATTAACCACAAAAAAGAAAGAAAGAAAGAAAGAATCTAGCGGCGAACATCACAAACCATGATATACATAACGTTTTCTCTGGTTGAAGATAATACCACTTATACTTCAAAAACGATCACCTTATATAAACTGATAAAAATAATAAATGGTTTTAAAAAAGAAAATTAATATAGATAAACTAGGGTTGACCCGCCCTACGGGCGGGAAATTATAATAGAAACTATTTTATATGAATATATATATATATATATATATATAATTTTTAAGACGTACAAAAATCAGTGTAGATTGAAAACCGTATTTTGATATCATAAAGGAAAAAATAATGTTTAGAATTCTGAGATCATATTGTTATTTTTAATAAACATGTATTGCTATATTCATTATTTATTTCGGTGGTATTTGTTTTTAGTTTTAGTTCTATTGTTTGGTTATATGTGTTAATTATAAAATCTTATGGAATCGTTTTTTGCACATAAGGAGATTGGATCTTAGAGCTGTTGTATTTAGCTAAATTTATAAAACAGTATTTAAAATGGTTCGAAACAGAGCAGTGTTCAGTTTTGATTTATGCTGCTAATCTAATAAACACAGACGGTGGTAAAACGGAAGACAACTGAGAGAGAATAGAGACGCTGGCGTTCAAAAATTTGACTCCATATTTCTTAAACGCTGACGCTATTAATCTCAGCGTCCCACTGGCGTTCGCAAGTCTGTTACATCTAAAACTTTAAATTGATGATGCGACTAAATCCAGCCAATATTTCTTCAATTCCATGCTTTAATTAGATTGTTGACGCTAGTATCATTGTTTGCTAGCCGAACAGGGCTATCGTAGCCATGTGTCCGTGTTGTTTTAAGAGGTTATTTGTACAATAATAAAAAAAAAATCAGTTTTGTAGAAAGAGATAGGAAAAGAAAGAAGGTGAGATAACATATTTTTTTTGTAGTTAGTTAATTTGTGTTTTTTAGTTATTGAGCCTAATTTCCCTTGTTTTAATTTTTAATTACTCTTATTTTCTTGCAATAGGTTGGGGTTTTCTTGTTGCTTAACCTACTATATATATTTATTTTACATTTTATTCACTATGTTTGTGTACTTAACAACGATTTAGGGTGTGGTTTGTCAATTGTTCTTTGACGGAGTGTTAGTAACTAATAACTTTTGCATATTTGAGTTTGATAATAAATTGTTTCAAAAACTTGCAACTAACGAAATCTATGGATTTTTAATGAACATAGAATTGTAAGATGACTTTGGAGAAGATGACGTGAAAAGTAATAGTTTGAGAACTCAGACCTTGGGTATTTCAAAAAAAAAGAGAGAACTCAGACCTTGTTACTTGCTAGAACTCTTGTTTAGCTACTTGGTTGTCTTTCTTTTGATGTTCGGCGAGAAGTTTTTGTTTTGTTTTGGGCTTTGTAGTTAAGCCGAGAAGCTATTAGGTCCGCAAACTTGAATTTTTTTAAAATTTTTTGCATTAAACAAAGTAAAAGAGTTGGTCTATCCGAAGTTTGGACACTACAACCTTGGGGACTTTCAAACTCCTCATTTCGCTGCGGAAGTACATGTGCATGTGCATTAAGGTGATTGTGACCTGCAGAATGGAACTACGCTTTAGGAAACGCAGCCAAACGGTGTGAGAAACAACTTTAGCTAGTTTTGCATCTTTTCCGAGGTGAGCTGTATCCAAACACGTTACTTAAAGGTTTTCGATCATAGAAACTTTATATACAAAGTGTACTTAAATCCAGAGAATAGGAGCATGATTCTAAACCTGCAACTTGTCCATTTTCTAATGTTGTGGTAAAGGGGTTATAGTATATTGATCTTTTAACCATGGTCTTTTGCTCCATAGCCTTTGAAACATTAAAACATGGAGAACACATAGAATCTTAGCTAAAGTGTTCGTGTATGTGTTTACTGAAGATGTGTTCAATACCTCCCTCTATCTTCGCAAGCCGTGAAGGTCCTGCTTATACACTCATGAATTGTTGCTCTTGTCGTGTAATTACTCTTTGTGGAAGGGTTGTCCGGTGTTAATTCTCTTCCCTTTTCTTTTTGTTCACAATCTCAAACAAAAGACTGTCCTGTGTTTGATGCCAGACGTTGTTTGAGTTGATGTTCTCAGCTCTAATCTGGGTGATGACTCTTGACATTAGTAACTGTTCTGATTTCTCATGAAGGTGATTTGCAACGTAATCAAATACACTCACACACACCGTAGCCCCTGCAGAGTTGTAACAATTTATAATTAGACAAACTCCAATTGACTAACCCAAAAAAAAAAAAATACAAACTTAAAACTTTGAAACCAAAGAATTCGGCCACACCATACCCGTGAAGTTGGATTATAACCATTACACGACTGATGCTCATCTGCATGATTTATTTTAAACAAATGGTGACTTGGGATGCAATAATTTCCAACCCAAAAAGCTACATCTTAATAAAAACATGAGAAGAATGGAAAACCCGGCAAACATGAACTGCTCAGTCGGGATGAAGGCTGTTGTTTCAGCAAGCTCGACAAACATGGTCTGGTCATCAAAGCGAATAGAACCTGGTGAGGCCAACAATTGGACGTGGCTATTGCTCCTTACAACATCAAATATGTTCAGCTCATACACCCTTTGAACCAACGTCGACTGATAACTAAAAAGCGATTATCAGGTGGTTACTTTCGGAAAATGAATCACTAATACACAAAGATTAACAAATTAATTTACAGGATAGTTACCTTTTCATCG